CACGTCAAGGCGGGCAGGGTACACGACTACGGGCACACGAGAGGCTGTTTCACAGCAGCTGAGTGGGGCTGTCACCTGGATGCTGCCAACGGCTGCTCTTCCACATCTCCAACCCTCACACTTGTGTTTGGGGCGCGTAACTCACTCCGCCGGCTACAGCTGAGCACCCCTCTCACACACCCAGCTTGGCAGGAGCAGCCAGGTAAATCAATGTCTTTTAATACTTCTCAAAATTGTCTAGGCCCTACAGGACATTTTCACACACTTTTTTCCAGTGTGCACAGAGAACATCCCTGGGGCAGGGGGGATCAACACTAACTGAGCACAGCTTCTGTAAAAGCTGTTCAAACCCTGACCAAATCAAGGCTCGAAGTGATTAACTGATTCAGCCTGAACCGACGACGGCAGTTCAACGCATCAGAGGCATTTCTGGAAGTTACTTTCTAGCTTATTTCTCTCCTCTCCTGTATTACAATTTTAGATACGCAGCAAAGATTTCTAAACACTCAAGTGCTCAGAACAGTCCCCAACGCTCAGAGTAACATAAGGTTAGATGGTCCCTCCTACTTCCTCCTCTTCACTTTGCACAGAGTATCTTCAATCTTGGCATCAACCAAGGCACTTGCTTGTTGGTAAGACACCCATCCACATGCATTTGCCCAAGTCCTTGAAGGTATTTTCTAGACCCTTTTCCTAGCTTTCTATCCCATATCCAGAAATGCCACAGGCACCTTCTGCTGCTGTGTGTGGTCAGGCCAGCCCAGGCTTCCTACTTTCTGCAACCCCAGAGACACCCTCTGCGAGCAGCAAGAGGGAGTCACTCGGACAGGGGCCGCCTGCTCTTACCTTTGCTCTCCCCGTGCTCTGAAGGATGTGCACCAAAGCACAAGCCATCTCCTCCTTATTCCTGACGCTGATCACCGGTTCAAGCACGGAGCACAGTGTAGTGTAGTTGCTGGTAATAAACTCTGCAAATTCTTTGTATTGCTCCATGGGCAAAATGGTTATGGTCTGGTAACGGGACTTGATCCGAATGGAAGGTCCCCCTGCTTTCCCTTT